CGTGTCAGTGTGTTTGCCTTGGGATAGTGTCCCGTCCGCGCCCCTATCGGCACCTGCCGAAAGAGTCGAAAGCCTCCGAGTTCCCAACGACACTTAGTAGGTGTCGCGAGTCCGTCCAATCCAGGCCCCATCCCATAACCCTATTTCCCGTTGTGTTGGTTTTTTTTTCCCCCTCCCACCGGTTGCCATCATCGTTCCGTGGCGTACAGGTTGCCCACAAACAAACAACGCCGCCGTCGAACCTGGGCCGTAAACTCGGATTCTGCTAAACGGCAGCCAGGGATTCGTGGTTGCAGGAGGATGAGGGCCTGTGGAGCCGAGCAGGGAGAGACGACCCAGGCGGTTCGGCAAAAAGGACGGCCGAGGCAGCTGACACGGTGATACCATTGGCCTGTGGGTGGTGGAGAGCCTTTGGCGATTGGCGACCCAAATGACTCGATTCGACAGTCCGTCCTTTGTCCATTTTCTGGCGTCCCTCCATTTGGGGTCTGGTTGCTGCACGGAGCAGATTCAGATGCGGGATCAGAAGCAGAAGCAGAAGCAGAGGCAGAAGCAGAAACAGACTAATAAGCAGTGTCCGTAGCAATCGAACCGGGTCGTGGCTCGAGAGGAAAGAGCGGATGAAAAGGCAAGGACAAGACAAGTCTGGCACTGGAAGTCGACACCAGGGGGGGGGAAGGTCCCTGGGCGAGCCCACTGCATGTGCCAGTCCAGGTGCAGGCTGCAGCTTGCAGATTTTTGCTGGGCAGTCACGAAGGAGGAAAAAAAAAAAAGAGCTGCTAACGAATTTCAGGTCTCGTGATGAAGGCTGTTTCGGTCATAATCGGAATGCTCCTGGTCTCTTGATGTCTCCTGCGCTTCCCTTTGCCGTGGCCTGAATCCTCTGGCGGGTGTGACAAGGTGCGCTCTCACCACGGGCAGGACAGTGAGTCGCCTGGTAGCACCTGACATTCCCGCTCTATGCGCGAGCCGCTGCATCAAGCTCCCTGGCTGTACCTTCTTGTGTCTCCCTACCACCTGTACCTTCCGTCCGCCTTCCATACCTTATCCACAGCGGGGTTGGGGGTTTCTTCAGCACGTCATCCCCATTTTCGCCCCCCTAGGCAAGTGGCAGGCAAGCAGGCAAGCAGGCCAGGTCTGGTTGGGTCTCCCCCTCCCCTCCAGCTCTCTCTTCTGCCCACTCTTCTCTGGAGCTCCAGGGCAGCTTAATCGTGCTCCTGGAGCTCTTATCGGTCTACCCCCCCAGAGCAACTTTCGTCCAAAGCAAAGGCGAGAGAGTGAGAAGGGAAAAAGAAGCCCAAGCGCCCATCCATCCGAACCATGCCATGCCCTCCAGGCAAAACCACACCCCCAAACCCATCCAAGCATGACTTGCCATTTACTCTGCCACATGCCTCAATCACCGAAACCGCGCGCCCCTCTCACCGTCTTTTGGAGCTCGGTCGGATCCCCTCCCCCGTTCTCGAATAACCGCGCGAAATCAATCATCCGCTGGTCCCCCTTGACGAGCCAGCCCCCCTCCGTTTGCGCTCCTTTCCAGACGACCAATCGCAACCTCTCCCCCAGCCACTTGTGATGGGCCAAGGGGGAGGGGGGTGGTTGCTCGTTCTTTTTTTTTTCCCCTCCCGTTTCCCCAGAGGCAATCACCAACGAGGGGTTGTCCCTTGGCTCGAGAGCCGTCGACCCCTCGCTCCAATGTCAAGGGTGCAGTGACATCACCCCGCCTATGGGCTTATGCAAGTGCTCGCACGCGCGCTCAGGCTCGCATCTCACGTTCCCCTTGCTCATGCTTTGCCTCGTGGGGGGCTCAATCTCCATCGATCGGCTGTGATCGTCGTGAAAGCATGGTCATGACCGTGATCGTAGTGACCTCAGCCTCGTCGCGGACGGACAATCTCCCATCACTTGTGTTTACTCACCCATGTGGTTTTCATCAAATGTCGAGATCCGGCCTCGGGTATCTATTCTCAAGACTCTATCACATCCCCGCTTTCGCTTCGTAGTACAAAATCTCCTCTACCCAAACCACTTGACCGCCACAACCAACATCACGTCTTAGCACGTTTCCAAGCGCTGTCATCTACCATCCAATGTACCGAGTAACAGGCAGAGTCCCTGCGGACCACCCACCGGCGCACACGCCGCACTCTCAGCCTGCCTCAACCAGTCGCCTAGGCTAAGCCAACGTCCACGTGCGGAACTTGAGGCCGTCGCTGAAACCCCTTTGTGTCATGGCCCAACGGCCCAAGCGACAGCGATGGCAGACACCGCTCCTTTCGTCTGATCTCGTTTACGGCGCCTCATGCCCCGATCTTACGTAGGAACGCAGCAATTTCCTCCTAGGCATCGTCTATCTGCGTACCGTCCTCGTCATACTCAACGTCGTCGAGTACTACGCTCTGGCCGTCCGCCGGGCACTTCTTTGCCATCATGCCTTTGACGAGTCCGGAATCTGGCCTCAGGATCGCGTACATTGACGACGTCACTGCAACAGGACCTGCTGGACCCTCCGGGCGAGACGATGCCTTGATCCACGCCAACTGTCGTCCAGCGATGTTCCAGACAAAGGAACTCGAGGACCTATAGTACTCCTTGAATGTCGTCGACGCCTTGAGGAGTGTCCAGGTATCAAACGGCGGGGCCGACGAGCCAGCGGCCAGGTACATCGTCAATTGCTCGTTTCCGGAGGCACTCTCAGGCACTTCGAGGGACTGCCACTGGTTGTGTATCGCCTGTACCGCCTCAGTGTACTTACCCCCGGCTTTGGGGATATTGCTCCACTGCTGCCTGATAGTTCTTATTTCAGCAGTGAGGTAGTCGTTGATCACCTTGAAGCAAGACGGCTCTGGCCCCTTCGCACCCAAGGACATGGAAGTCTTCATGAGCCTTTCAAAGTCGTCAAACGGCCCCAAGAGGTCCTTATCAAAGGTGATAGCCTCATTACCGAGCAGGCTGTTGAAAGCCTCCATCTCTTGATCGACCAGGGGTAGAGCCACACGGAACTTGAGATAGTCCAGAACGTGTTCCTCGCCAAGTCTCCCGTCCTTCGAGGACCTTTGGTTGTGATTGACACCAGTCTCAGCCTTGTAACGTGGTTCGGGGAGGTCCTGAAGCCCATTTTTGAGCAGTCCTTTGCAGAAGCGAACCCACTGGTCCCGACCAAAGACAATGCCTTGCTTCGCCTGATCGACTAGATTGCCCACAAGATGCGAAAGTGCAACGGCATCGCTGTTGTCGATGCCATTGTAATCATAGCACAGTCTTTCTTTGTAGGCCGTGCAGATGCCGAGGAACTGTTCTTTCATGTTGAATGTGAAGCTCTCGTACATAAACTCGGCCACAGCCCGGTCCATGTTGCTAGAATTTTTCTGGACCAGATCTTGAAATGTTCCCTTGCGCTTCTCGAGGTAGCCGAGCGCGAACAGGTCCGGAACAACAGGGTATGCGACGTTTTGAAAGCTGTTGACAATCGTTGAATCCCAACAAACCCAGGCCTGGTCGCCGTCGTAGTCTCCGCCCGAAAGTAAGTCAGCCAGGGGACTATCACCCTTGATTGAAAATACAATAACGTCTTTCAGATGGCGAAGCTCCGGTCTGAAGACTGCCCGAACACGCTGGATATCGCTGGGGAAATGGGCTGGCGCTCTTGCCACCAGGACGTCCATCCCATGGAGAAGCGTATCAGAAAACTGTCCGTCGGGGTCCATGAATTTCGTCGAAAATCCTAGATGAATCTCTCCTTCTTCGAGAACACCTTTGAAGTCAACGACCATTTTAGCGTATGTAGAGCATCCAACTTTGATATTCATCTTGGATTTCAGCAGCTCGCACTTGCGAAACGCCATTTTATACGACATCTCTCGGAGAAATGAGAGTTTCTTGGGCTGGAATCCAGCATCGAGCAGCAGGTTGACCCGTTCAGCCTCGTTGTCGGGCAGTCCGGCAAGGAAGCGAATATTCTGGTCCCTTAGGCGGTCATTACGGTAGCCCTGGAAGAAGCTTTCGTGGATCCATTGTCGAAACTGTACCGGATCGTCCATGGATGAGCGCTGGCGTGCGAGCTCTTCTTTCAAGGTCGTCCGTAGGCATTTTGCTATAGCGTTGCGCATCCGGTGTTTGTCTGTTCCCCGCTTGACGTCTCCATTGACGAGCACTGGGATGAACTGCATGTTCAGGTTGGCAGCCCTGAGCGGCCGAGCCTCCGTCTTGACTTCGAAGGTACGGTGATCCTCGTCCCAAAAGTCGCACTCCCATTTGCGTTGCGACGGATATGTTTCGATCTCGAAATCATCTTTGTTTTCAGGGTCGGTGCCGACGATCCAAACTCCTTTGGCGCTTCCAAAGCGCCCTTGATAGGCACTAGGCGTGTCGGTCAGGCCCAGATACTCGGCTATGGCTTTCGCTGCTTTGGGTGACATTTCAGCAACGCCATCGTTCATGACTTTTCCCGACTTCGAACATATGTCCTCCGCATGGTGAGTTATCTGGCCAGGCTCAAAGATAATGGTTGGGTAGGTTCGGCTAAGACCTATCCATTATTAGGCCTATGTGCAAGATTCCTGGGGTACTCACTTACTCAGGGCTAGGCGGGAGAATAGCTTCAGGGATGGCTGGGCCGCATTTGCTCTGATGGCGATCGCCCACTCCAGCATTTCAGTCAACTTCATTTTTGTTCTTTCGTTGACCTTTTTGGCGTCTGCCTTTGCAGGTATGCGGTTGCCTGGACTAAAGGAGTGACCGTCCTCGGCAAAGCAACAGACACGACACTGTTTGAGTCTGGTTTTCGTCGTGGCTTTACCTTCCCAGGCCGCAAGGCCCTGAGCTAAGCCAGCAGCGACCTTGTCAACATCTCTCGTGAAGAAAGCAGCCCACTGTCTGCCCGCCAAAAAGTGCTTCTCGGTCGTCAGCCACTTGATAATTGTGTCCGTAGCACCGTTGAGGCGTTTGATTTGAGGGGGAACTCCTGTGGCAGTAAATGACGGGAAATTCATCTCCAGAAACCGATCTGAGCCGAATCGACGACCTAGGCGATGTCCCAAATCAAGCTTCAGTGGTTGAAGTGAAACATTGAAGAGAGGACCTGTGGGGTTTGTATTCCAGGATAAATCAATGGAAAGGCAGACAGCCCTGCTCTTTGGCCCTTCAAAATTGCCATTGCCAGCGGTCCACGTTGCTTCAGGGCAAGGTTCGGGGAATGCCTTGCCTTGGAATGGCGAGTGCTTGTATAGCTCAGTTCGTAGAGTCTGTTGATCAACCCAACGGTCACTGTAGCATAAACCAGTCAAGTGTTCCAGGTCAACACCACAATGCAAAGCAATGCGGGTTACCTCCCAGCAGACAGCCAAAGGCGCCTGATTAAGAAACTTTGGCAGTCTGGGCCACACTTTTCTCAGCCTCTCCTTGAGATCAAAAGGCGATTCTGGACCGGTGGTTTCCGAATTCTGAAAATCGTCCTCTGCGAACGGCCTGTGCTGGTTTGCAACATGGTCCTCGCGGTGATGCTTTGAAGATGGTTTGTCGAATTGTGCAAAGCTCTCCTGATGTTTCGAGAGTGAGTCTTGCAGAAGTTTGACAGCATCTGAAGCTGCATCGTATTGTCTCGAAGAGCATTGTAGGTTCGGTAAAGAATCACCCCGTATTCTTTCCTGACTGCTTGCCTCGACCGTTGACTGGCTGCCTTGAAGAGCATCATCATCCTCTTGTGGTCGTGAGAAGACGCTGGAGGTGAACGTCGTATTGCTTGTGTTTGCGGATCTGTTGTAGAAACTGTGAGACGACTTCTGAGGCTGATGAAAGAAAAATGGCGCCCTGGAGGCAGTGACTCTATCGACAGAGGCTTCAAAGGGAGAAGTGACTGTTCTGGTTCGGACGGGCACATCGTCAAGCGCGTCTGCATCTCCTTCCTGCTGCCGGGATCTCTTGCATTCCCTATTGGGTGCTTCAGGGTAGACTCCAGCAGAGTTTCTCTTGTACGGTCTCCCTCCTGCATCGGTCTCGGCTTTGTGAATGGTGCCGAAAGAGCGGTCAAGCGGTCCGTGAACTTTCCAGGCTTGAGACAGGAGGTCGTAGAGGGTCGTCTGCAGGAATTCGGTCTCCGTATTCGGACCAACATGAGCGGTAGAAGGCTCCTGCGGCAGTGAAAGCGTCCCTGGGAAGGCGCCACGTTCGTGCAGCCGAGTGTTGGATGAGTTGGCGGCACACCTATGTAGTTGATCCAGGATTCCTTGGAGGACAGTCCGTTCCTTGAAAAACAGATAGCGCAAGCGCTCCTGGATCTTCCCTACACGTTCGGCCTGGGGGTCAGAATTGGCATTTGTCCGGCGCTCGCGGGCTGTCAGTTTCGAGTCCGAGGCATGAATGCCAAGGCGGTATTGTCCATTGAGGTTGCTCAAGAAGACGGGGAAATCATCAAGCCTCTTCTTCGCAGGTGTTTTTTCTGTCGGGCGATGGGCGCCCGCCATGGATGCTGATACAAGGAAGCGATATTATGACAAAACAGAGAGTTGAGGCAACAAGCGCTCAGCATCGGCCCAGGCTCAGATGATGGTCACCTGGGCTCACGAAGAGGATTGAAAGTGCGGTGTGAGGCAAACAGCCCTCACAGCAAATGAACGTAAAGCCAAAACAGGTCCTAGCCGGAGACGTGCGGCCGAGCGGACGGGCTCCAACTTTAAGGAGAAGCAGCGAGAGCTGGAGTGCGGATGTGGTGGTCGAGGGTAGCTGAGAGGGAGGTTGAGAGTGGTGGAGGCAAGACACGGGGCGGACCGCTGTTTAGCATGGCAAGTGGGTGTGGGGGCGCAACCGCCTTCCCATTTTAGCGACGCGACCCCTGGCCCCGGGCGAATGCCTCCCTCCAGCCCAGTCTGCCCTGCCTGCCTACCTACCACAACCTGTCTGCCTTGTCCTCTTCGGACTGATCTGGACCAACAATGCAGCATCATGTTAGACAAGGTCATCAAGTTTTGTGTAGAGCCTGAAACTGAGGGTGCGATGACCAGCTGCGTCGACAGCTTGAATCAAACTGTCTCAGAATAAGGATCATGACAGCTGTTGCGGGACCCACTCGACGGGGCTTGTTAGGTCGCCATCCACCTTATTTCCCATTGTTTGCTTTCGAGGCGTGGAACGTGGCGGGACCAACAACAGCTACAAAGCTTGACATCTCACAGAGAGTAAGTAGCCTGCCAATCAGCGTTGTGGCCGTTGGCCAGTCTACAACCTCCCAAGAAGACGGGCAGCGACAGATGATGAGCTGTCAGGTGCCGACAAGTGCATGAGATGACTGGCTGTTCCGTTGGCAGTCCTCATTCGATGGATTGACGGCACTATTGCGGGCATTTGAGCTCGTTGCTCGTTGGATGGACTTCTTTGTTTCAAGTCTTCGATGACAGTGGTCTGTGGCGAACTCGGAAATCAAAGTGCTGAAGCTCATTCATGTGCGAAAATACCAATGCTGGATCTATTCAACGGGTGGCCAAACCCCTGTTGATAGCCGGATGCAGCCAGCATGACAATTTAAAACAACACTCGTATTATTATTAGTGCTTCCTCTTACGTTAACTATTTCACGCTCGGATTGACCATGCAAGATTGTCAGAGAAATCTGTTGAGGCTGGCTCCTCAATCCAGAGACTACAGTGACAAGTCGTAAGACACCACACACGAGTAGCTGCGAAATGGATCAATAAAGATTCATAAAAGGTCTGGCATCATATTCGAGATGGCTGCGAGCTATCATTCCCTCAGATGAAGCGCCTCTCACAAAGCCACCAATCAGCCGAGAGGGAACTGGCCAGCCAAGCCTCCAAACCACTGCCTCGCCCAGCACACGGCGCACGAACCATTAACCCAAATGGCGGTGGTATCAACAAACCAAATCATGATCCGGGCGCAATGCCCGCCTCCCCCTCCACTCCTCCCGAATGCAGAGAACCTCCCATGCTATCTCAATCATCGACAAAAAAACCCAGAGACAAACAATAGGCATGACTGAAAAATGCAAAGAATCCCCCTACTTCAGCTGCTTCAGGATCTCGGACAAGAAATCCTCAAAGCTGAGGGTGATGTAGCCGTCGCGGTCGTCGTCGTACTTCTTGAAGACGTCGGTCATGCGCTTGAGGCTGATGCAGGCCTGGACAAAGAGGTCGAAGCTCATGACGCCCTCGCCGCGCTTGTCGTAGGTGCGGAAGAGCAGCTCGACGAAGCCAGGGCTGAGGCGGTAGCGGAAGGCGACGAGGGCGTTGTTGAACTCGTCGAGGGAGATGTTGCCGGAGCGGTCGGCGTCGAAGCGGTCGAAGAGGGTGCGCCAGGATGCGAGGAAGGACCAGAGGCCGCAGAACTCGGCAAAGCCAATGGTGCCGCTGCGGTCCGAGTCGAACATGCGGATCATCATGCGGATGGTGTGGGGGTCAAAGGGGGACCAGTCGCCGTTGACGAGGGCGGCAGAGAGCTCGCGCTCAGAGAGCTGGCCGGTGCCGTCCTTGTCGACGGCGCGGAAGAGGGGGAGGAGGGTCGGATCGGCGCCGTCGGCGGTCATGTCAGGCTGTGGCGAGGGAGGAGGCCGCGAGGAGGCTTCGGGGCGGGCGTGATGGATGGGACGGGGTTGGTTCGTGGGCGGCGGGGAGGTGGCGCCGAAGCCGTGGGAGGGTGCCGCCGAGGAGCCGGAGGGCTGGCGGTGAGAGTCGACGCGCCTGGGGTCCTCGCGCCTGGGGTCCTCGCGCCTGGGGTCCTCGCGCCGAGGATCATCGGACGGGCGAGGGGGTGCGGGCTGAGGCTTGCTGTCGTAGCGGGATGGGTAGTGAGACGAGGCGCCCGAGTCGTGGCGCTGGGGATGGGGGTGGGATGCCGTAGTGGGCGAGGGACGAGGAGGAGCGCCGCCCTTCTATTGCTATGGTTAGTATTTCTCCAGGCCGTGTAGAGCATCAGGATTGCGATGGTGGACGTACGTGTTCGGGCTCTGCAAACCTGTGCGCGATTGCTGGTCAGCTTCGAGGATTCTTTGGCGGGGTAACGTGCCGCGAGTGACTTACCTAGGCAGCTCGTCAGGATTATAAGGTCTGTTATAGGCCATTGTGGACAATCGCTTTGGTTCAGCAGCGAGGTGTAGATGTTGGTGGGGATAGGGGATAACAAAAAAGAAAAGGAGCGACACGAGAAGAAGTGACTGAGGTTCCGGCTTTGAAGGCTGTCGCAAGCTGAAGAGCAGAAAGCGAACAGTGGACAGTGGACAGTGGTCGGGTAGGAAGAGCCGCAGTGCGAGCTTGGCCTTGGCCTTGTCGGAGCCCGGTGGAAGAAGTGGGGCAACAGCGGGGAGGGGAAATCGAGGTCCCTGCGCTAACACGCTCTGGCGGCAAGGCAGCATGCGGGCGGCCCACCCAGCTTTTAAGGGGTCTAAGGTCAGGGGCACAATTTATAAGGTACACCTACCTACCTAGGTAGGTACATGGTACTACCTATATGGGTGCCTAATTTTTTGAGTTCACAGGTAACAACCATCCCAAAGGCAGGTACAAAACCGGGACTGGTTGAGGGCAATCAGATTTTGGCCATGCTGATCCCAGCTTGGCGTGGAATGCAAGGGCATGGCATTTTCGTCAGTAAGCGGGCTCCGCCACCGTCACCATCCCGAGCTTTACATGGCACCCGATGCGAGGTTCGACTCGGCACACGCGGCCAGTTCGTTGAAGTCCCGTACCCAGCCAGTGTTCCCCCTTACTAGGCTTCCACTGCTGTATCTACACCTTAGGCACCGACTTGGGCCTATCAGAGTGGATGCCCGGTGGACCAAGCCTGTGTTCAGCGCAGCACAATCCAATGATGCAGCCCATCATTCGAGCAAACTTCCATACCAAACATGGCCCGGTGTACAGGCAGCCACCAGAGAGCCTGTCCCGCAGATCCACAGCAGACCTTATGCGACACGGGTGGGAATGCATACGCACTGGTCATACCTATAGCCTCATAGCAAATGGATGTAGATTATCAGTGCAACAGGAGCCCGCAGCGACAGGTCGATCAGCTTGTCAGAATCATCAGGGGGTTTGCCCACCTTTGGGGGTCCTCGCTCGTCCCATGTCATGTTCCTCTGTGTTCCCTGTTGTTTTTGCGACCAGTGTGAAACTAGGAGAATTTGACACCACAGCCTTTTTGTCCAGAACTAAAGAAGGCCCCGTTGGGGAATGGATGTACTAGTCAAAAGCCGACCTCTCGTACTTTGAATGTACTTTGGATGTAGTGGCTGCAGGCTACGTATGGGACTTGAGGGAGTATAAACTAAGACATAAGGGGGTTGAAAAGTATGTAAACACGTTATTACAAAAGAAACTTGACTGATTTACGCCGTGTTATGTCTCCCAGCACCTAGTGTCCTTCACGTGCCTCCAGCTTTAGGTACGCCACTCGAAAACGACGAATAAATATGACGTGGCGCACTGTCTTCCAGACATAGGACAGCAGAAGAAACCCAGCAAAAGCAAATGCAGAATAGGGAAAACAGAAATATGTGAACAGCAAGACACCAACAAAATGGATGACCGACACCAGCAGTGCAATGCAAAAGGCCACTTTTCTTTTTTCTCTTGCAGCTTCGACAACACTCTGGTATCTGGGCGTACTGGCCTGTGATTGTGTCGTTAGCGAGGTTCGGGACGAACCAGATCCACGACAGAGAGGCGAAGCCAGCCGCCTGTCTTGAAGCACTCTGCAGGTACTCACGGGGTTGCCTTCTTCAGTCGTGAGGGTATTGACTCTGGTCTCAAGCTGATGGGGAGTAGCAACTTTGGAAATTGGAGCGACAGTTCGCCCAGCACTCGATGAGGAAGATGATGCTGTCTCAAAGCGCTGCATTGGCCCTAAACCCATTTTTCGGGCTGCCAAAGGCAGAGATCCTCTTCTGTCTTGGGGTGTTTGAGGTGATATCTGCTGGTGAGGCCGAAACCGCACGATCATGGAGCTGCCTTGGGGAGTAGAGCCTGCTGTAGTGTCGCCCATTTGGATCGCCGGTATTTCTACTTCCGACTTTTCAGACCCTAACACTGCGGAAGACCCCTTTGCTCTCGGAACAACTATGGTCTGGCTGGTTTCCTCTTCACCAAATCCTCTTGCAGCTAAAGCACCAGGCATCTGGGCTTCTTTATGAATGGGCTTTGTGATGCCTAAGAACATGTATTAGCATCCGATGAGCAAATAGATCTCGTCAACCTACTCCCGACCTCCAGTGCTGTGAGAGCAAACACCAGCAGAAGCAGCAGCGGCATGACTTGACCAAAGCTGAATTCAAGGAGAGGACTTATGTCGACTTCTGGCTCAAAAAGGCTTCGTCGCAACGACTCCAAACCGATCCCGGTCCAAGTAAGACTGGTGCAAAAGTCGAGGATCAACGAGTCATAGATATCCGTCAAAACGTCCGCCAAGATGGTCCATACCACCATTGTCTCGGAGTGTGCGGGTGTCGTTTTTTTGATAACCTTGTGTTTCTTGTCGAGACTTGTGAAACGCTTCGGGTTGGGCTCTCTGTAAATGGAACACATGATCGTCAGCAGCCAGGGAGGTGTAGACGTGTAATTCTCATCCTCCCGTCGTATATCACGCATGGCGCTCATGTAAAGGATTAACATGACAATAGCGTCGGCAGTTCCGTCTCGCAGCGCTACGCTAAAAGTCTCTTTGTCACCATAGCTCTCCCATAGCTCGCAGGCAGCTGGTCTCGACGGATCGTAGTTCCATATGATGTGCTCCAGGTAGGTACCTGCGATCATGGTTGCCAGGTAGAACGCCATTAAGGCACTACGAACACGAGTCTGCCATATATGATTATGAAAGTGTAGCCTCAAGATGCTCAACGTCGCCAGGTGTACACCTGATGCTAATGAAGCGAGCTCTATGCCGACATGGTAAGAAAATGCGGACATATCGCAGAAAAGAATTGATATGGTGACGCAAAGCGCGAAGCCCGTTACCAGGGTTTGATCGCTGAGGGATAGAATAAACGTCTGGAATCTGCTGATTTGGTGACAGGCAGGATGATTTTCAGGGTTGCCAGCAATCCATTTCACGAATGGGAGTGCCAAGAAGAGCTCGTCGAACAGAGCGTATTGTTCTTTAGGGAGCCTGCGCCGAACGATGGCAAGGAAAGCAGTGATCATGGCCGTGAAGGAAATCACAAGCATTGAGAGGATAACCTGGACAATACTGATCGTCAGTTACTGACCGAAAACAATAGTCCTCCGTAGTGATGATGGCTTACTCCTATACCCTGAATATCAGGGTCGACAGGGTCCAACAGGCACGACTCTTCGCCGCATTTCGTTTTTACTGCGCAGTAATCACCCATGTCGGCAAATTCTCTCTTGCGTGTTCCAACCCTGAATCACAGAGAAAATATATATGTTCGAGGCTCCCACAAATACCAGATGGGGTGCATTCTGACTATGTATAGAACCGTCTTCCTCCAGCCTGATTCCTAATCGGGTACAACTGCATGGCGTTGCCGAGGATGCGTATGATCAGATTCGGGCCGAAGCAAGGCAGCCAAGTCGTAGCCCCCGAGAGTCCTAGATAACGTGAATGCGTATAATTGTGTTAAATCTTGTAGCCTTTAAGTGACCAATACAATTTTGCAGATATAAAGACGTCGGCAACCTATAGCCGTTCGAGTGTACTGATCATCTTAGAAGCCCGAACTCTCAATAATCAAAATCACCTCACCACACACCCATATAGACGCTCGCCCTGAGATACGTCTGCTAGGTGGCACTGACTGACCCGATTGCCACCCACTTTCGGGCATTCCGGGAACTATCCGTAGTCCATAGCCTTGTCATCAACGTCCACCAGAAATCCAATCCAATACACCACGCGAGTCGTCGCGGACAGGGCACAGATCCACACCATCTCTTTCGGCCCGAGAACAGTCTCAAGCACTTTGGAGCTAAGGAGCCGGCTAGACCGCCTGCTCGAAAGAATCTTATCCATCAAAGTGCGATCAAGCGATATAATATAACTGGTCCGGGGGCTCAATTCTGTCATTATCTGGAGCGCTCAGAACGTACCTTTGTTCCTGAGGTTGTTGTCGGGCCTAAAGGGATGGTGACCAAGGTGTAAAACCCTGCATTTTGGTTCGATGGTAAACGCACCGAAGCCAACTCAGTTTGGGGTACTCAGGGCAAGGTGGCATAAGATGAGAGCATGGTCAAGGTGTGCGCGACGAATCTGAAAAACACTGCAAAGATTCTCACCTGGTTGGTCCAGAATAGGTGCATCAAGCCAGCGAAGCTTGACTTTAGAACATATAGCAAGCGTACCTATGCTGAATCGACATTTTCATTGCAAAGTCCAGACGATCGATGCAGCATACTCGAACGCGCGCCGGAGCCTGCGTGGCTCAGAGAATCACAAAGCGTATTTTCCAAGTGCCGTATTCCACCTACTCTGTAATGCGAGACAAGATCGAGACAGTATGTCCAAGCACGCCCACGTACTGCTCTGCGGCCCAGTGGTTGCGCGCGTTGGAGTTACCTTACCTTTAGTGAGGCTCGGGATCTGCCGACCCGTCCCTTGTATTCCATTCAAGAATGTCAGATCCCTCACGTTGCCAAGGCTTGCAACCGGTGCGTCTTGGCCCATGAGCCTGACCTAACGGGCAGTGAACACTGTTGGCTTGCCAAGTGTTTCATGCATAGGCTGGAGCGTGAACGATCAGCGGCTCCCCGACACGGCCGAGTTGCGCCGTGCCGTCGTGCCGAGACGATCACCCCTTCGCTCCCTGCCGGCCACGTGCGCCTGCACACGTCAGAATTAGAATCTCCACAGAGCCGTGGTGAGATATGTAAGATGCTCAGACTACTACATACATCATGTTCACTCCGCCAGTCCCATCATATCTACACATTGTATAGCGGATCAAAAAGCCAATCCAACTCCAAGCACGCCATGCAGTAGGCATATGAGCCACTCAAGATGCCGCCCAGACATTAAACAAGAGACAAACCGCCACAACCGTCTTCTGGCGTCAGACATGGCGATTTCCTCTCACCCGCCTTACTCCCGCTTCACCGGGTGCAACAACAGGTTGGGCATGTACAGTTGCCCCTCGCTCTCCGTGAGCGGGTACATCGGCTTTCCATCCTGGGTCTTCTTCCCCTGCAGCCACCCTTCGAACAGCTCCCCAGGCCAACCGCCGGCCCACCAGAATGTGCTTGACATCTGGGGTGAGTTGATCATGTCTGGCTGTCCCCATTGTGGATCTCCCTTGCCGAAACCATCATCGCTGGCCTTCGGTCCCCCGAGCATCCATCTCGCGCGCTCCTCGTCATCGGGCACATCGTTCAGGTACCATGGCAGCGGCGGGGCACTGATTTTGAGCCCCAACCACAGCGCGAATGATGGTAGCGTTGCCTCTGATGCTATTCGCAATCCTCGCCTCTGCAACGTGTGAACGGCGTGCAATAATGCCCGGCTGCCACGTTGAATTGCTGGCGGACAAAAATATCGGGGTGGGCCTTGCTTTCCAGCCCGGAATCCGTAGACCCAGCCCCGGAAGATCCACGTCGTGCTCTTGCGCGCGTCCGCGCACAGGCTCGTCACAATGACATCGGCATCTTCTCCCACACCCCACTCAAAGTTGTCCTCCTCGTCAGTGGTGGGTGGCCGTGGCCCAATGGGTGAGACCTCGCGCACGCGAACCGGGCCCCACTGACCTCGTTAGCAATTGACCACAAGAAAACCTCATGGGCGCACTTACAACATGAGAGCGGCCCCGGTTGACCTCATCGACAGCGGCCCGGAACTCATCGGTTGTGTTGAACACGGTAGGGTCGTAGAAGAAAGTCGATCGTTCCATGGCCTGTTTGCGCGGCTCCTTGCGAGACCATAGGTCCACAGCATCCAGATAAGCCCCAGCATCGCCAGTGAACCGCATGTCCATCTCAAACTGCCAGTAGTGGTCAAATTCGGGGTAGTAGTGAGAGAAGAGTTGCAATGGCTGGAAAGCCTGCCAAAACGTTCGGTGCTCGAGGGTTTCGGGGTACCAACTCTCCAAGAGAGGCTCGTTCCAGAGAACGGCGATGGACTGCAGCTCCTTAGGAATCTTGGCATGCTCAAAGGCACGGGCATACTCTTCTGGCGAATTCCAAGGGTTGAACTCCTCGCTGCGAATGTGGACCAACAGCACGACGACGTACTCTCCACCAGTGCGCAATGACGCTTCGACGATGAGGGAGCGGATGTGCTGCATGTCACGCTTCTTGTAGTCGTAGCCATCATAGGCTCTCAGGATGATCGCTGTCCGTCGACTTCCACTGAAATCAGTCCATTGATGGTCTTCCGGCACCGTGCCGGCGCTCTTCCAGGCGAATCGAACGGGGTTGTTGAGGAACTTGGTGGCTTCGCTGGTGAAGCGATGAGCGTTTAACGCAAAGCAGTCATTCTGAAGCAAGCCCCAGTCGACCGTGTCCCAATCGACCACTGTGCGACTGTAAGATTTGTCTTCTTCACCGAAGCCATAAGGTCCATAGCGACCATCGGGAGACATCCAAGACTTCTCCAGACCTAGCTCTTCATGAGAGCCGGCAAACGGCACGGGGTACTCTGCGATATCGTCAGCAGGCTATGGCCGGCTTCAGGGCCAATCGACTCACTCTGCGACAGATGGGCGGATGTGAGGGCATCGTCGGAGCTGTTGGATAGTAGTTGACCTCGGGGGCCGTAGCAGGGCACGCGGGGCCCAAGCGACATGATGGGGCGCGGCGGCGACATGCGCGGAGGAGCGCGTCCCCGAACCGTATCGACAGTGTGCATCATCCATGTTGCGGGGCCGTTCTCTTCAATGAATATGTAGCACACGACATACAATACGGCAAGGAAGGCCAGGACAGAGCGGAAGAGGCGCCATGGCCTGAGGCGATAAGGCGCGAGGCCGAGGCTGATTCTCATAGTCGTCGGATGGGCGACAGCATGATTGAGGAAGCGTCGCGATGAGTGATGGGGTCCCTTGGACGGCCGTCGCAATCGGTCGGTTGGTACTGTAGCGGGCGCTGGACGGCGTGTGGCTGACTGCTCGAGCTTCTCTCGCACCTCTGTTCTCTCTCGGCTGAGCGGCGCACGGGAGGGGCCGAGTCGAGTCGCGAGGACACAAGTCAGACGGAGAAGGAAAGAATTTGAGATCAACAACGGGACCCTGGGTGAAGTGAAAATAAGGATGAAAGCTGTCAAGTGGCCAAGCAAATGGTCGCCAGGCCTAAACCAGCCAGTGTGCTTGATACCCCTGAAGAGGTTGGAAAATTATCCAAGGCGCCATTGGAGGTTGAGGACGCTGGCCCGTTCTTCATCTCTTTGGGGCCCATGCTCATCTCCAGAAGCCCGGGGCTGGGCCTCGCCTCTGGCGTGTGGGCAAAAGGAGCCAGATGGCGCCAACGCGGTGGTTGCAGGGGGGGCGCGGGATGCCTCGCTAGTCTTCCATTTCGGCGCCATCGGAATTGGCCAAGCAGCCAACCATTCAGCACAAACTGGGTGGGCTTGAGGATCTCGACGGGCACTCGACGCGATGACCGCTGCGGTAGAACTGTGGCCTAGGTATTGAGTGAGGGCCAGTAGAAGGGGGCAGGCTTCGTTAGTCTCGGTCATGTTCGCGGACGAGCTGCTTCCGGCATGAATCGTGGGACGACTGAGACCACAAGAAAGTAACATGGAAATCAGTGTGGTGGCAGACTTCCGAAGGGATTGACTCGATATCGAACCCGCGGCACGGGTGCACGTGCAGACGCAAAATGTAGCAAGGGTGTTTGGATTCTTGAACAATGCCACCAACCATCCATGGGCCGATGCGAGCCTGGCGAGCCTGTTAGGACCTCTTCTGTGGCAGCATTTGGACGGATCGAATGATGTTGGAATAAAGTGAAGTGACAGAGACAATTTAGAGCCGAGTGACTGACTGCTTTGGCTTTGTCCGACCATCGATCTGCCTCTCTGCTTGCATCTGGGCTGGAACGGGCAGGGGTGACCTCAGCACTCAGGATCTAGGAAGGTGGTACCTCCTCTGAGGGGCAAGAGCACACGTGTGATGGTCCTGCACTTGAGCCATGCAAGGCCATGTAACACGTGAGGAACGAGGCTGGCAGGAGGCATGCTCCCCGCCTCATTCTTTAGTCGCACCTTCGTTGTTATTGATGAGCACCTGCCCTCCACATGCTACCTTACCTACTTTACTCAAAGCAAGCCCCACGTAGGTAATCGGACTTGCCGCCTTACTCGGGTGCCTACCTACCTTGCCTGCCTACCTACCTAGCAAGCCTAGGTAGTCAGCAAAGGGGGACACTGCAATACAGCGGGCGCCAAGTCGGTACAGGCATCGCATCAACCCCTAACTCGGTCCCCGCGCAGATGTCGAGAGATGCAGGGCACTTGGGCACGCACCTCACCTGCTGCAATGCCCAGACTTTTCCACGGCTCCCGGCAACCATGCCCGCATGGGATTGCGTATGCTTCCGAGGCCCTCCTCCACCGCCCGCCAGGCAGGCCCCCGTATCCATGTGAGGGAGAGAGAGGCCAACAGAGAGACGAGAAGAAATAAGACCACCGCGTGCCCACTCGCCATCGTCTACTCAAACTTCTTCTGTCCTGACCTCCCTTCGCTGTTAGACTCCAAGAAGCTCGCATGGTTCCTCCACCGCCCGGGCCGACAGCCATGGCACATTCACACGTCGCTAGTCATTGGTTCCTGGATTCTGGATTCTGGATGTTTGCCTACCGCGAGGCAAACGGTTCAACAGAAATACCCGTCACTCCGCCGTCTGCGGCTTCTCACAGACATCTAGACAAAGTTGTCGCTCTGCACCCCAGATGACGTGACGGCTGGCCCATCACACGACACTGAGCTGTTGGGTCGCTATCCCCCACCGGGCTGCCCGGTGCATTTGTCATGACTGGCAAGGCCACCTGAGTGTGAGGAGCCCTGGGACCTAGGACGGGTGGTCGTGGCCGCCCGATCGATTTTATACCCGATCCCGCCCTGTCTGCCCCGCCGCGGGGTACTCGCTGTTTCTGTCTGTCCACGACCTTGATACATACCACACACGGACACACCCACACCCAACACACACACACACCTTGACAGCTCTCCAGACTGTGGCCTCAAGTTGAGGCTGCCCTTGCTTTTCGTTTTTGTTTTCTTCACCTACCCTGGCTTTACCGCTCCACCGTGGACGTCACGCACATGGCGTCGGCCGACCTTCACACAGACGGCGATGAGTTTTGGCTCTTTGGATATGGGTACGTCCAGTGACGCCAGTTGCCGGTGGTGTATCAATCACAGCTTGGCTCGCCCCTCCGTCTCACACGTCAACCTCACAGGAGCCTGATCTGGAAGCCTCCTCCACACTTTGGTAAAGCTTGCACCCTCGGAAATGCCGCTCTCCTCCTAACAGCCACAAGATAGGAGGATCCCTGGCTGGGTCACAGGCTACGTCCGTCGTTTCTGGCAGGTCTGTTCATCCTCCGCCCCTCATCTCTTTCCTGAACCAACACAGAAGCACATCAACTAACACGACATCAAAGGCAAGGTACGCTGCGAGCTCATACGACAGGATGAAACCTCATCGCCGCCCGTACTGAACATAACCCCCCAGCCAGGACCACCGCGGCACCCCAGAAGCCCCAGGCCGCGTTGTCACCCTCATCGAGCGCTCATACTGGTCCGCCATCCACGACGCGCACGACACAGCCCCCGACCGCGTCTGGGGCGTCGCCTACCGCATCCGCCCCGACAAGGTCGCCGAGGTCCGCGACTACCTCGACATTCGCGAGATCAACGGCTACACGATCCACTACACGCCCTTCCACCCAGCCGAGTCCGCCCCGCCGTCGACCACATCCTCCTCTTCTGCCGCCGCCGCCGCCTCGGCATCGGGACCTCCCAACCCCGCCGCCCCCATCCGCACCCTCGCCTACATAGGCACCCCCGACAACGACCAGTTCACCGGCCCCCAAGACCCGCAGGCCCTCGCTGCGCACATCCGCCGGAGCGTGGGGCCCTCAGGCCTCAACACCGACTACCTCTTCAACCTCGACCAGGCCCTCGACGAGCTGAGCCCTGACAGCGGCGACGATCACATCAGAGACCTCACGCGCCGCGTGCGCGCCATCATCGCCGCCGAGGGGCCCTCCGCCGAAGCCGAGACGAAAGCTGACGAGCTCGCCAGGACGAACGCAACAAACACGGAGGAACAGGAGGAGACGGAACACTGATGGGAGGTCACGCGGGCGGGCGTTTCGAAAGAGTCAACTGGGACAAAAGGTTGGTTGTTACCGCAAACCTGTCACGACGGCAGCATTGGACCATGGAAACCACCCATCATTTTCGTTCTTTTCTCTTCCACTTTCTCTCCTCTCTCTGCTTTGCAGGCCGGTTGGCTCCCCTGATTTCATACGAGACGAGAAATTCACTCATAGAACAGACGTACAGATTGCAATGCTAGACCTCCAGAAACTTGGCTGGGGACTGCAAAAGGAACAACATCAGAGAACCCATCGTCGTCCCCACCCGTCATCTTCGCGTCACCTTGTTCCGAGTCAATTTTGTGCCCATACATGGCTGTCATCTACCCTCACCATACACGCAAACATGCGACAGATAGTAAGCAACGTTCCAATCTTGCCGAACGACGGCGCGAGTAAGGAAAAGCACACGGGAAGCGACGGTAAACATTTCACCATCAAGAAATGAAACAAGGCGATAAAAGCGAAAGCGAAACACCCCGCCGAAAATAAAAACCCAAGGCCGTTCAATTCCGTTTGCCAGGCATAAGCCCCCTCTCCATTGCTGAGGGACCCGAGCCTTCCTTTGCCACCAGAGTTCTTGTCCATGCGCGCAACACTAGGACCGGGGGTATCTTGTTGTAGCACCGAAGGGTAGCACCAATTCGCTCGATCGAACCTACGGACACCGGCGCACACGCATCATTTGTCGTTACGGGGAAACGGGATGTCGCCAAATACGCTTAGTAGCCGCCTCCATTGGGAGGCTGCTGCTGGCCCTGGTAGCCACCACCGTAGCCGCCGGGGGCACCGTAGGGGTCTGAACCATGAGTTAGCAGACGAGCTTGGTTTTATTAGCTTGGAGTTTGCGCTTACCCTGACCGGGGGGAGGAGCACCATAGCCCTGCTGAGGGGGAGCGTAGCCGCGACCGCCGCCGTAGCCCTGCTGGTACGGGTTGGGGTTGGAGCCGTACCCGTGCTGGGGAGGGCCGCCGTAGCCGCCGCCACCGCCGTAACCACCACGACCACCATATCCGCCGCCGCCGCCGCCACGACCGAAGCCGCCGCCGCCGCCACGGGGACCGTTGTCGGAAGCGCGGTCAACGCGGATAGTGCGTCCATCGAACCTGGAAGCGTAAATCAGCAAGTGTTGAGGACAAACTGTAGATTGCGCATCAGAGGGGAAACGTACTCAACGTTGTTCATGGCGTCAATGGCCTTCTGGGCATCCTCGTCCTGGGAGTAGCGGACAAAGCCGAAACCACGGCTGCGGCCGGTATCACGGTCCTTAACGACGACCTGGAGCCAATGTTAGCGGGCCTGATGATTGCCGAGCACAAAAACGCGCAGTGATCTACGCACGGCTTCGTCGACGGCGCCGAACTCCTCGAACCTGGAGCGCAGAGTCTCCTCGGTGGTGTGCCATGCAAGGCCGCTGGTAGCATGTCAGCAGGCGTATGCGATGAATGATTCTCGGAACCGCCCTACCCAATGAAAAGCTTGGACATTTTGTCGGTAGGTGAGGTTTTCTGATCCTAAAAAACTGGAATAGAGGTCAGCTCAAGTTCGCAGCACGATGTAGCTGCCAACATGATCAATAGACTGGGAACAGGTGAAAATTGGAAAGGACACGGGGTGCTGTGCCAAGAGACTTTCAAGGCGAAGCGCCGACATGCGCAAATTGGGACAGGGGGGCAAATGTGGTGTACGGGCAGACAGACGATTCCCTTCGTATCGACGTGTGCAGATCTAGGGAGGGGGAACTGGCGGTGCAAGTCGAGGTCGATCTGGTTGCTAGGAGTAGATCGTCACAGGGATTGCGCCTGGTGAGATGGGTCGAGTCTAGGCAGTAGAGCAGCGGGTTGATGGTGTCGAGGGGAGAAAGTTTATTCGGAGGCGGGATGGCGAGCGAGTTGCGCACGTCTGGCGGTGGGTGGTGGAAGAATGGTTGGCAAAGGAGGGGCGTGGGCGTGTGTGACAGGAGGTACCTTAGGTTCTGGATTGCTGATCCCGGGGTGGACACGGCGGCAGATGGACAGCAGGAACAACCAGGCCCGCGATCCGGAATCCCAATGAGGTGATGCACAGGGGGAGAACGAGTGATGTGATGTAGATAGTGACCCAATGACTCTAGCTTGAGCCAGGAGCGACAGGATTTGGAGGGGGGGGTGAGGGGTGAGGGGCGAGGCAATCGCAAAGCAAGAGGCAATAGGCAAGGACGAACGAGGGACGAGGGGAAGGAGCGGGCAGGCGTGGGAGAGACGGCGGGGTGAGAGAGAGCTTGACGTCGTTGGGGGGGTCGGGAGGGGGAGCTTCCCAAGTCCTTGTACCTCACGGAAGGTACCGGGGGTGCGCATGAACAGCGAAAATGTACTTTTGACAAAGTATAGATACGTACCTTCTTGAAGAGGGGAGGGAGTGTGCCTGAGCTCTGAAGAGGTATGGCACAACAAGGTGAATTCGTCTCGCGCGGTGTCGAACAATAAAGTCGTCGTTGAACGTGTACGAAAAGGACTGTGAGATTCGAACAAGGCCGTTTCCGAGAGACTGCGATCAAGAAAAGCAGACAGACAGACAGGAGGAAAGGTGTAAATGAAGGGGGAATCGCCGGGGCATGGGCAGCCGTCCCGTGGTCCTCCAGGTTCTTATATGAGAGGATGGGCGTTGGGTCCGCCCCCCTCCCTCTCGGCCTTTGCTCCTGCTACCGTGACCCCCCCAGGCCGAATGAGGTCAAGGTCCCAAGCAAATGTCATGGTCATCCAGGATGATGAGCGTGGCCCGAACGCCGCCGCCCGCCAGGAGAGGCGGCCAAGGCATCTAAGAGATCTGCCCGAGAAGACGCATGGGTGGTGCGTGCTGCTGCTACCGCTGGTGCGCATGCTGTTGCTCATGCTGGTGCTCCAGGCTCCACGCACCATGCCCCATGCTCCATGCTCTACTATGCTCCAGGCCTCATGCTCCACGCTCCACGCTCCAAGTATCGTCTGTCACTGAATGTTTCGACTGACCAGGGCCCAAGGCTGGCTCCAAGGGGGTTGTGTGGGTGCCGTGCCCATGCGCATGGTTGGATGAGCAAGATGAGCGAGATGTTTAGGTGCGAGGCACTTGTGAGGTGTGCAACAAGGGGTGGCCTGCCCCCCTAGCTTGCCAGCATTAAGCCGGGGTGAGGGGACATGCTGGGTTCAGGACCTGCGATTGCAGCATCCAGAGCAGCACAGCTTGAAGGTCCAGCGGGGCGGGGGGATCACCTAGGTGGATGCAACGACGCGATGCTTCTGCGCGCGTTGGACGGGATGGGCGGCTGTTCCAGCGACCCCATCGGCATGTCTCAACACGGCGCACGGCATCTCCTCAAGAAAGCCAACCAGTGGAGGAATAGCTCGACGGACTGGCGGACGGGAGAGGACGATGAGGAGGCGAGAGGCTGGAATTGATTGCCCTTCCTCTTGTCGTTCTCTCGTCGCCGGGACGCACGCCGTCGTCGCCGAGTACCCGCCGTGGCTGTGGCCACTTGGGGTACCTACGTTGATGCTGGACTGGTCCTGCGATGTTCGATGCTGGGTACCTTAGGTAGGTCCTGCACAAGTCAGGCAGCCTGCCGCCAGGGACTGAGTGCTGCTGAACACGGACCACCGACCACTGACCTTCGCATGTAGGTACATGTAGATACGTCCTGAGTCCATAGGATGATGATGGGGAGAGAATCAGCATGACGAGTGACGGGCGACGGGCAGAAACGGGCGACTCCACACATTTGCACAGCCTCCTTCACCTTGCCCTGTTTGAAGCAGATGAGCACGTCGGGGCTTCAATCTCGAGCAGCAGCGCCGCGCCGTTTCTCCTGAAGAGTGGAGAGAGCTAGCAGGAAGGAGAATGTACCGTTCTACATTGCCTTTCTCTCCGCGCGACCTTCGTTGCTGGATGAAACATGTGTCCTGAACACACCCATCCAAGCCATCCTGCCACTCATTCGTGATGCCGTTGGCTCCCAATCGATGTCACCCTCGAGCGAGGCAGTGCACATGTCCGTTTTACTAGGCGGGTCCTTCCTGCCTCACCCCTGCGACAACTCCTTGGCCTCCCCTGTGTCCTTCCCATCTCTCAGATCTCGAACCCCCCCCCGGCGACAAAAGCACCAATGGGGGTTGCTCCTTGTTTTGAGTAGCTCTGAAGGTACCTGCCTACAGCACAGGACCTCCCAAGGGACTTTCCTAGTGAGCATCGATTTGAGCAAGGCGGCAGGCTGCTGGTCCAAGCGCTGAGTACCCAGTATCGCTGACTGCCTTGTCTGCCTGAATGTTTCTGTTCGGCTGGAACTTTTCCATGAGGGGGATTTCGACATGATCTGCCACATCTTCATCTATCCTCCTACCGCCCCCGTCCCTGTCTTGGATCCCCTGTCTTGCAAAGGCCATGTTCAATCTTGGCTTGGCACTCTACCAGAAGATCGTGAACAGCATGCGTGCCATCGGGTGTGTGGAACCAGGCCACACCACACAATCGCATCCTCCCCCCCCCTCCCCACCAAATAACGCATCGACACAGAATATGGCCATTTATTCCTCTCGAGCATCGTCCTACCAATCGCCGCCACAATGGGTGGCACTCCAGTGCTGATGGTCGCTGCTGCCGGTGGGAAATCTTTGTCTTCGCCCCCAACGACGATCTCTAACAACCTTTTGGCTCTCCTCCCTCCTGCAGTTGATCCAGGCCAACCACGCAGTTTGGTGGCCTAGGAGGCAGGGAAACTAGCATGCAAGCAGGACCTGTCGCATTGTCGCATGCGGCTTGTAAGACTGGCGCGCCCAACGCTGCGAACATGTAAGGGGGCCAAGCTCGCAAGGGTTCGGCCCACTGGCCATGGGCTGTTTGCTCTGCAACCATTTCGGCTGAAACTCGTACTTACTGCGCCTGCCTCAATGTCGTCGAGGCTTCTTCGCCGCATTCGGCTGCTTGGCTTGTCCTATGTACCCAGCATCGCCACTCTGGAAAGCACCCCGAACCTTTGAGAGTGATTTGGACTGACTGGCCAAGTGAGTTGGGTGTTTAGCCAAAAGGCTCAACACAGAAAAAGTGCGATGAGCGCTACCTGTCCAAGGACCCCAGGATTGAGAGGGAGAGGGGGCGTGGGGTTGCCTGGGTGCACAGGCACGTGCGTGATCAAGACTCAATGCGACCCTGGGGACACCTTGGGTTTTCTTGGCTGATCTTGAACGCCAGTATCCCAAATCCCGAACACCCGCACTCCTTGACCCGAGCTTCTGGGTCTGTCTGGATTTGGGCGGCGGCGGCGGCGGCGGCATGTGATAATCCATGCCATTACCGACCAGAGACGCGCAACGTGACGACGACGACGGCAGCGTCAACGACTATACCAGCAGACTACACTTGGGTACTTGATGCCACGCAAGCCGTTGCGTACACCGAGCAGATATTTCGGTATACTGCTTTCCACCACCGCTGCGTATTGCCTCTCCTTCCCTCGTACCTCCCTCCCTCGCCTGATGATCCCTCAGGCGTTGCTTGGTTATGAAGCCATAGGCATTGCGATGAAACGTCGTCTGTTCTCCCTGCGGGCGGGGAGAGGGGTAAGGGTCAATGCGCCATGCCATCAGGCATGTCAAGTTGTCATCGCGATACCCTCGTCTGGCGCTTGGGTCGGGGTGGAGACTCTGCGCTCAGAATAGAAATGGCTTGGCGGGTCGACACGCCTTATGTTCCGTGAACGTCACGATCGTCTGGAGCTCTGCAACTAGGGCCTAGTCTCATGTCTGGAGTAGAGCAACGACCAACATCGACTGACAGGCGCTCGACAGACAACTGTCTCTTTCGGAGAGTCGATTTTGTGCATTGGCTCATGTTTGATCAATTGAGCACGCTGCTCGCTGGCCAATTGTACACGCAATCCAGACCTATCTCTACGCCGAATTGCTTAGTCTCATGTCACCTGCTCGACGTGCCTCCGAATAGTTTCCGCAGCGACAGCCGGCTCTAAGTTCGTGATATCCAGTTCTAACTCGCGATCCCCCCCGAATCGATGTAGGCCCTCCTCGCGCCGGATCTGCCGCAGAATCTCGACATCCACCAGCTTCGTGTTTGTTCGACCGCCGCGCCCCTCTCCCACAACCCTCCTCTCGTTCTCTGGCGCATCGCAGTGGAGAATGACCGACACGAAAGGAACGTTGCGCCTTGCGGCAGCATCTTTGTAGTCCTGAGCAGCGGCGGCAGCCTCGGGGGTGTTTTCCCTCGAATCTGTAAAGATCCACGTCACGCCGTCTGCCACGTCGTGTGTGGAGATAATGTCTAGGAAGAACCGGCGCGCAGCCGTTCGCAAATCTTGGTAATGCGGCGACGAGCGCTCAACCAGGGCAGCGACGCCGTCGATCATGAGGTGGTTGTCGTAGACTTTAGACTGGGGTATTCGCTTCTCCAGCTCCTTTGCCACGGTCAGCTTGCCAACAGCGGGGTAGCCGTTGATGTAGATGTATGTTGCCATGTTCGTTCCTAGCAATCGAGGGTAAGAAGAGCCTTGGTATGGCGAGCAAGGCTTCTTACTTATATGCTAGGACAGGTTATGAGATAAACTGATAGCCTCACATCCCTTGCGGGCAGAGGATCTGAGGCGTAGGCTGGCGCTAAGGCTATGACTCCCACAGAGGCAATCCTTCAACTGGTCACTCACTGCTGTGTTGAAATCCGCCGTGACTCAGAGGCGAGGCAAGGCAAGTCTTACGTCACCTAAGGAACCTTCATAATAGACGGCTGCTGGCAACCTTGTGGTCCGTTTGATTGGAGTGTCTGACTGTGCATTGGGACGACAGTTCAAAGGACAGCATGCGTTGCCGACAATTGAAGGTTAAAGACCATCATAAGAAGAATTGTGCGCAACCCATTGAGAATCGCAGGGGGGATTTTGAGCGCGTTTCTCTGTTCTTCTATTCCCAAAACGAAGGAAGTATTGGTTGATTGGATACCTACAACTGTAGCTCTGTAAACCTGAACAGCAACGATTTCATTCTTGCGCAGCAACCGCAGCCGGCTGATTGATCGGGAACCTGCGGTGGTTTTCGCCTGGGTCTCGTTGAGATGATGATGGCGGAGGCAACCCTGCCGCTGTCACCCAGGTTCATACCTTCATTTCGGGCACTAGACATCCTTTCGTCTGGTCTTCCCTCTCCGCCAAAGGTCGTATCAATGGAGGAGTGATTTGAATGTTGGTAAGCTAGCGGAGGTGTCTCGTCAGTGTGGCCATGCGAATTGGCGGCAACAAGGGCCTCCAGTGCCTCCTCCGGCTTCCGGCTGCTCCACTCGTCATCCGGCTCTTGTCCTGCTTCTCAAGTTCAACCTCCATATTTATGGCTTCACAAGTCAGAGGATGCTGTCGAGTCAAAATTGGCTCCTTCTCAACAGCACACAACATATTAGTATTACGCCTGGAGCCTGTCGAAAGATTCGCCGGCCATTAGATGTCTACTCGCAGCAATGTAGCGAGGGGCCCGGGCCTTGGCCTGCTATAAGAGACAGAGGTCCAAGTGGTCATCCACCTCGAGGTGGCCACGGCGCCAAACGATCCTTGACTTCAGCCTCACAGCGTCGTCGACGAGGTCCTTGCTGCTCACGCGGCGTTTCTGGCAGAGTATCGCGAGTTTGCAAAAGTCCATATCTTCACCGGTGTCGCTGAACGGTCCAGGGCTGTCTTTTCCGTCTTGCCGCACAGTCTGCCGCCCTTGAACGATCGCCAGAGCCCGGTCATCCACCTGAAATTGAAAGTTGCCGAGGAGCAACGGTCCCTTGAAAGGACTTGTCACAGTGACACAGGCGAACCGCGGACTAACGGATAGAGAACCGAAGGGTAAGAACACAAGGAACCCATTGCAAGATTTGCGCGTGGGAAAGACCTCTGACTTACATGATCCCTGTAATCACTTCAACGAGAAGACTCGTGAGCTGGTGACGCATTACAAGGTGCATCCCCACCCACTCTTGTCTTTCAAAAAGAATTGTCTTGCATTTTAAAGCATCTAGTCTAGGCTGGGTCACCAGCTTGCGCGTGCTGTTTGAATCGCCAGTGTCATAACCCAAGTTATCAAGCGGTACGTGTGCCAGAGCTTCCATGATACCATTCCTGACCTCTTGGGTGATGAGATTCTGAAGTTGGCAGTCGTTGACCCGCGACTGGAAGAGCAAAGAGCCGGAAAAGAAAAGGACAAGGACGGCATCACGGTGTTGCTTGAGAGACTGGGAAAATGCAACAGCCTCATCGTTCCTTGAACAGTAGAATCAGCTGCGTGCCAATATCGTGACCGCATGAAGACATTGGGCTGGGTATGAGGTTGTTTGCAGAGATCACAGATCTCAGATTCAAGTCTCTGGGATGGTTACGTAGGTTTCAGGCTCCAAATGCCAAGCATATGATGGGTAGAACTTTTTGGCGGCTCCGGGATGATTTAGTCACTGTGTCCAAGCCAGAATAGCGTGGAAGGCACCCCCAGTGGATTGAACAAGAGGAGGTCTTTCCGTAGATTCGTCCTTGAGCCATGCGGATGATTCGCCTAACTACAAGCAAGCACAGCCCCTGTCGACACTTCCCTTTTTGAATTCCGTCATTTACGTTTACAGGTCCTGGCAGGCGTTCACACCAGCTTCGGTTGTTGCCCAGCTGCCTCGAAGAGGTGCCAAGCGTACTTTCGTGCCATGGATCGTTCGCAACCCCGTAGCCAGTCGATCATGGATCACAGGTCCGCACAGCCGAGTGGGACACGACACCTGCCCAGTAATGCGCTGGCAGCGCTTCAGACAGCAGAGTGTGGGATCGCTAATGGCACAATGGACGGCAACGAGCTTGTCGAGCTTTGGCTGCAGCGAGTCAACGATCGTCCACGCAACACGAGACACGACAGGCATCGTACGCAAAGAAGAACGGTGCGGCATGGGGAACATCTGGCTGGTGGAGATGGACGTAATGCGATCGGTCAGAATCAAAAGCATTCATGGGCTGATGATAACCCTCTCCCACCAAATCGACACGCTCCACAGGGCCCTACTCGAGATCATGTTGATACGACTAATGGATCTCTGGAAGATGATTCGCCGCAGATGCCAGCATTCGAGAAGAGGGCCAGACACAAAACAAGGCATGACAAGTACGATTTGCATGGATCTACCAAAATGACAGTCTCGAAAAGCAAAGCAGAAAAGATCAAGCGCCCAAGTCGACGCAGAGAGACCAGCAACAGGATGCTGTTGGCTTCACGTGAGGTCATGGACAAGTTTGCTCCAGAAGCAGTCCATAATAGCCGAGTGACGGTATGTTCCTAGCTTCGGTATGAATCTGTCGGAAAGCTCACAAAGCACAGCTGCAGCCTGCTAATACGCCTGGTCTGTTCCATAACGGTCGTCACGCTACACAGCAGAGTGAGTTTACGTTCAGATCCTTTCCAAGCTGCTTTTGACGGATATCAGTCCAAGATCTTGGACACGGCTCCATGGAAATTGCATCGTCTCATGAGCACCGACCGGCGAAGAAACGCGTACCCTCACGGTCTCGTGACAGAAAACACAAGAAAAGGGGAAGAGAATTAGACGAAGCCTCCGACATATTCAGGCGTCCTATATTACAGGGCGATCATCAGCAGGTGCAGGATATGGGCAACATCGTCAAAGACCAAGAGATAAGCGGCTACGGATATCGGGACGTCATCAGTGACCAGCCAGAAAGTCGTTCTTCATTCCCACCCAAAAATCCCATTCGGGGAGACCGACCATCAACGGGCCGGAACACCTCTTATTGCACTTGGTCCACAAGTGACATGTCCACAGGAAGGCATCCTGGCCAGCAATCGCACCAGCTGGGACGCGACTGTCAAAGAAGTCTGACGCCAGATCATGTACAGCAAGCTCTGCAAGAATCCGGAGCACTAGAAGGTGCAGGTGTAAGTAAAAGAGGCTGTCAGATTCAGAACCCACATCAAATCGACGCCATAAGGTCTGGGAACCTGCCCCACGAAGTAGAGGGCAGCGTCGCAGGCCACGACACCCCGAACCATAGTCGCCCAAATACTGTGATAGTCCGCTACGAAGACAAGGGCGTGATGGCAAGAGAGCTTTCACTCGACCGAGAGGCAAGAATTGATCATTCGGTAGCCCCTGAAGAGATGCATGAGGGTACGCTTGCAACGCAAGCGCAAAACACAGCTTCTAAAGGGATTGCAAAGATGGCTGACCCAGTGGATAAAAGCCACGACGAGAAGGATCAATCAGAGGTTAAAATTATTCCGAACGCTGAGGCTCTCAATGGAGAGCTGTCTCGGGACGAGGTTGCCAAGCAAATATATCTCAAGTCACCCGCACCCAAACCCCCTTTACCGGTCTCTCCAGGTCCTCCACGACCACAGCGGACCGTTTCGCTAGGGGAGACGCCTGAGCGATATTTTCAGTCTGTCGGCGACTATCGCATTACACGGCCGCTCACGGCGCCTGTAGAGTCAACACCCGGCGACGGTGTCGTTCACCTGCCTAAAGAGTGTCCGGCTGTCCCAGACACTGAATCACCCGCTGATGCCCAGTCTCAGTCTCAATTAGGCCAGTCCCTCGCTTCATCAACTCGCACTCACAATCCGACACCACGAGAAGTGTACAGTCAACAAGATCTTCATCAGCATCAGCCTATGAATGATATCAAGCACTGTGCACCACACTCACAATATGCTGTACCACCCGACATGAATATGAGCATGCACGGCGAGGATGCTACCGAAAGCGTGGCCGCTTTTATCCAGCGTCTAGAGGCAGAAGTTTACCAGGATGAATGTACTAGATACTGGTCTCGCCAAAACTACCCGGGCCAAAGATATTGTGATGAAGAATGGTTCGATACCATAGAAGACACCCCTCATAATGCTGCGCCAACGACAAGTGGAGCGTGGTATCAGACGCATCAACGACATACTCTCGGCCTGTACAACGACGCATTGGGCGAGGACCGGAGTCAACGAGATGGACAGCGAACGAGGTTCAACACAAATGCCCATTCTCGATCGAATACGTATCTCTTGCATCAGTCTCAAAACACGAACAGCACGGCTAACGCAGCCGAGGAAGCTCAACGGTTATCATCATTCTGGAGGCCAAACTATTTTATTTAATCCGGTTCACTCGGGCTCCTGACCTTGCCACTTCGTACGCACACTCTCGACATCCATTTTGCATTGCTCCGCTTTCTTCACCACGGAACGAGCCTTTGCCGACACCGGTGCGTCGATCATCATGCCATCGAGCGTCCATGCACCTCGGCCTGAAGCGCTGGCTTTGTCATCGGCTATAGTAATTCTGACAGCCCACTCTAGTTCCTTTTCACTAGGTGCAAACAGCTTCTGCACGAGCTCCACTTGCGTCGGGTGGATGCATTGTTTTCCGTTGAAGCCCATGGCTTTACCCCCCAAGCATTCTTCTTCGAGTCGTTGTAGGCCTGTCTCGCCTCGGAAGGACGTGCAGACAAGGTCAATGACACTGGGCAGGCTTGCGGCCCTTGCTGCGGTCACAATGGCAGATCTTGCGTAGAGAAACTCATGGAGGGACGGTGATCGGGTGATGGAGAGGTCTTTGGCGAAGTCTTCGGCCGCGAAAACCAGACCGCTCAGGTAGGGTGAGGCGTTACATATCTCCTTCAGGTTCATGATGGAACGGGCGGATTCGATAAGCGCGACGATTTTGATAGGATTCTTGGAGTTCTCGGCATGCCTTTCCGGGGCGACATGGCGGAGGACATCGGTGACGAAGGTCAGGTCAGCAGCAGAGTCGACCTTGGGTACGCATATGGCATCGACGTTGGCTAACGGGGCGAGCGCGGTGAGATCGTCGAGTGCGAGAGACGTTTCTACAGCATTGATACGCACGGCCAGCTCAGATATGGATGCGGGGCGGGAGGATTGGTTGGAGAGAAATGAGCGGAGCTGTTTCCGGGCATCTGGTTTGCGGGCTGAAGTTACTGAGTCTTCGAGGTCGTATGTTACATTGTCCGCGGTCAGGCCGAGAGATTTGGTCAGCATCTTTTCGGACGAGGATGGGACTGAAAAGTGTTAGCTTTTATCAAACAAAATGAGGGGGGGGGGGGTGCATGAACCATAAAGGAGCGCTCGGCGCAAGATGGATGGCGACCTCGCCGCTAATGCCATTATGAGTGAATAGGTACGGAGTTGAGACGCTTATTTTCGATGAAGCAAGGCTGTGCGCAGGGCTATTGTTGATCAGGGAGTGAATGTCCTTCAAAGTGATTGTCGAGTCAAAGAGTTTGATATAATTGTTCAAGAACTGTTCTGAGCTCGGCTGTGAAGCTATCACGGCATCGGCATGGGTGAGTTCGGCCCAAGCAATCATTCGGCACGTTGCCGGTGATGACGTAAGGGTGTCAGTGCCGCAGTTCAGCCGACCGTTCGACAGACCCCTGGGCGGAGGGAGCATGGCTTGCATGGGTCTGGTCACGGAACAACCCGTCAATTCTCCCTTTACGAACAGCTATCACTTTCGGGCGCCTCTCAGAGCTGTCGACTCGCGAAGCTATTCAACCCCCAATGTGACGACGACTGCCTACGAGGGATATTGGATCGAACCACGACGACATCGAAGACGACGACAGAGACACCCTTCTGCTACATTGGGATCCGAAGGAACAAGAACAAGTCGACGACCATATTGCGACATTGAAGCTATCGGTTTCGTCCTCCTCCACTTCCCACCATGGACCAGAATGCGCCGCAGGCGCCCGTCGAAGGGTCGCTGAGCTGGCGGTTGAGCTCCCACCCCATCACGCTGCTCACCTTCCTCGGCTTCCGGATATGTACGCCACGACGTCCCCTCCGTGGCCTGCAGAACAGGCAGCTAACGCGTTCCTGACAGCCAGCGTCCTCGTCTACTTTCTCGGCCTCTGGATCATCAAGAGCATGTACGCAACCTTCCTCCCTGGGGCCCGTCCTGTCTTGCAGAGTTTACCCTTTCCCTGTCCTCGTCGAGGATACTATGGAGACGCCGAAAAGAGTGCCCAGTGAGCTGACTCGGCGTGTGAAACAAACAGGATCATGATCTTCATCATCACCATCCTCCTCCTGGCCGCCGACTTTTACTACCTCAAGAACATCGCCGGCCGCCGCCTCGTGGGCCTGCGCTGGTGGAACGAGGTCGACCCCCAGTCGGGCGACTCCAAGTGGGTGTTTGAGAGCTCCGAGCCCGGCACCAAGACGATCAACCCCACCGACAGTCGCTTCTTCTGGCTGGCGCTGTACGTGCAGCCCGTGCTGTGGGTGCTGCTGGCCGTCTTTGCGCTCGTGCGGCTGCAGTTCCTGTGGCTGCCTCTTGTTGGTCAGTCTCCTCTGCCCCCCCCTCTCTACAGCCTTCCTCGCTCTATCTGCATCTTCCCACCCCGCTCGATTGTACTGGGCCGTCAGGCTGTGCTTTGGACGAGGTCGGCTTGCTTTGTATGCGCAGACGCTAACGGGAGCACAAAGTCATCGCCCTCGTCCTGACAATCATGAACACCCTCGCCTTCTCCCGCTGCGACAAGTTCAGCCACGCGTCCAACATGGCCGGCAGCGCGCTGTACGGCGGCGGCCTGGCGAGTAGTCTGGCCAGCAACATGGTCGGGCGGTACTTTAGCCGCGGGTGAGCCGTTTGCACAGGCGCGTAGGATGATTCCAAAGCACATGTAGTTAGGTAGGGTGATGTGAGGTGGGGAGTGAGGGGGATGGAACGGAGACGACAGGCGTCCGGTCAGAAACCGCGCCGTTGTTGCCCCCCAGCCTGTTCAGCGTTTGTGTCTTTACAAAAACGAACAGGAAGAGGATGGATTGGTTTTTCTTCCGCCCCGGAAGAAAACATCTTCGTCGAAAACAGGGTGGAGTTCGTAGGGCGTCGATACCCGTTTGTATACTAGGTAGGAGGCGTGTACGCGCAATGCATGATTCAAGGTCTCGTTCACATTCGACGTTTTTGGTCAGGGGACTCCTTTCCACTTGCGGACGAGTCGGTGACAGAAACCAGCCGTG